TAATGCTAAGGGTAACACTTTTGTATAGGGACCAGTTCTCACTATAAACTAATTGTTTATTAGCATGCCTATTAATAACATATTGGCTGTTTATTAGTACTTATAAAGAACATATTCTACATGACCATATTCTACATCCCTAATCTTACCCAATACCTAAACTTAACAACTACCTTACTAACTATTAATAAGCAGCAAATTAGGAGTTTATTGAGGCAAAAGTCATAGTTAATGGTTTGTTAATAGTGAGAAATGGACCTTAAAATAAAATGTGACCGTGCTAGGCAACAATACAGTTAATTGAACACGCATTCATATTTATAGATATTTGTTTACTTTGTACAGGTTGTCATAATGAAAAACATTTTAACAGCTTTTTTAGCTAAATTTAAATAATTATGTAACAAAAATCATTAAACAGCAATGAATATCAAAGCATTCTGTTTACCAACAACTATTGTAATTTATACATTTATGAAAAAATACCTTTGTTATGAGAGCATAATTCAACCTTTTGGTTAATATCTACCTTTTATTATATAATATAATTGACCATTTCTTTAATGCCAGTGTAATTTTGTTGAATTCACTTTTTTACACACTACTTATTAGATTAGCTAGTTTAATTAGTGTATTTTAGTTTGAAGAACAAAATTCCCATAAACTATTCTAAATTAAGAAGGTTTTGAAGAAGGTGTTTAAAACCAGCTTGCCAAACTACTGACTTATCTGTGTCCCTATCAAATATACTGTATCTGTAGGCTATAAATATTTCATAAATATTCTATAAAAATGTGAAATTGTCACAATATAAAATTTTACTCTTTTGCTGATTGAAATTGACCACATTTTCTACAATAATTTCAGTCCATACAGGAGTGGTTATGGGTTGAACCTGAGGACTGCCGTGCTTGTGGTCTCCAGCAGGTGGCGTATGTCTCACAGTCTAGCTCATCTTTCCAGCTGTGTGCGCTGAAGCTTCTGAATCAGGCAGAATGCTATGAATCTTTCCTTCCTTTATTATGATAACTGCAGGTCGAATTTCCTCTCCACACAAAACCCTCTGGCTCCGCACAGCACTGACAGTTGATCCTGGCTCCATGCCTGCAATGTAGCCTATATGAGCTTCTGTCTTTCACTGTCCTGGCAGCAAAAGCTTTCACTCTAAGGTCAATGTACCTCCCTCATTGATCTTTACGCGAGTGTCAACAGGAAGATAAAAGTTCTTTGACCTGTAGCATTTAGATTGTTAATAAAAAGTAAATTCTTTTTAGAGGAGTGTTAAATAACAAGCATGACTTTATCTGCTTGTTAAGTTGTGACGAAAGGAATGCTGTTTCTGGGTCCAAGCCTCAACTTGTTTCACTTGAGAATACCACCCCAGCAGCCTTTATGAGCACTATTTATTCATATTACACATTTAAGCTAAACTTTTAAAAACGTACAGTGTACACTACAGTCTCCGTGCTCACGGCGTCCTAGACACAAATATTTTAACGATTTATAAAAAAATGAATCACTGTCTGGCCATCTGGGATTTCGGTATGGAGATAAATGTTAGGATTATATTTTTTGGTAGTATTATATCACATTCTGAGTGTATATTAGTACCATTTGTTGTTTTCTTGTGGCATCTGATAGAGCGTTTGGACCCGGAAGCGGTGACGCGTGACGTCAGACTTAGCAAGCAGATAGAATCAATCACTCATACTGAAAATACAGCTGAATATTGTGTGGTAGTAAGATTAGATTTGTTTTAGTATGACTATTGTGGACACCTATAGGTTGCATTACCCTGTATCATAATTTCTAGTCTTAAAGCTTGTCCCTTTAAGACGGTATCAGGCATCAGGCCCACACCAGCACCCCTTTAGCTGGATAAATTATTCAAAGCATTGCTCTACTGAGCTGAGACAGAGGAGCAGGAAGGGTTGGGAAGCAGAAAGAGACAGAAGGAGAGAAAAGCAGCCACAAGGGACTGCTCAGACTGGCATTGTGTCTAAATGAATGCTGTGGTTGCTCGGCGCTTGCTGTGCCTTCCTGCCTGGGACATATCCCAGAGCAAATCAAAGAAATGTCCCATTTCCATTCAAAATCAAAAGAAAAAGAAAAAGATAGAAATGTTTGTATAAAGAAAATAAATGAATGAAAAAAAAACATTCAGTCTTAGCCTCAATCAGAAAAAACTCCAATCTGAATAGCAATCAGAAGAAAAAAAAATCAATACAGCAAATACACTGATCATTTATTATTAATTACTTGGCAATTTAGTTTTTTAGTTTGTTGTTTTCTGGGTTCACATATATTCATTATGGTAATGAGAATATATTTTGACATGACAGTACTGACAATGGGGTGTCAGTGTTTAATTGTAAAATAATGTCTAAATAAATAAATAAAAATAAAAATCCTAATGACCATAAAAATTCTTAATTCTACAAAAATTATAGATATTATTAATTATACATATTATGACTCAGATTTGTGTATTCATATACTGGTTTAAATAAATTAATTTATTACTTAAAAATATAGAATTTTTATATTTGTTTTTGATTGTGAGTGGATGTACAGTGGGTATACAAAATCTAAAAAAAATATATATATGTAATAATAAAGTAAAAAAAAAATCATGTCAGATCCTTTTCCACTTTTAATGTTGAAACCAATCAAATTCATGCAACAAACAAATGGAAACTGTATACATAAACGTAATATATATATTTATAGTTTTTTTTGTCTAATAACGCTATACTGAAAGATAGACAGAATGGAGATGGACATGCACATTTCTAAAACCGTGTGAGTCACACATATGGATTTATCATGTGTCATGAATGAGTTGCCTTGGATACTTTGATATTGGGTCAAGAATTATGATTGAGTCAAGAATGGGCACAGTTTGATATAGGCATTGGTGTAAGTGGTCAAACGTCTGAGGAAGGGGCATGTTGACAAAACTGCATGAAAAAAAGAGGTGTTAGGAGGACTAAGACATGCAAAAGATGATAGAATGAAAAGGGAGAGAAAAAGACCATACAAAATGAAGTCCCAGATGAAGTCAGTGACCAGCTCATTAGCTGGAGTTTTGTATCCGATCTGGGTGAAACCCAAGTGAATACTGCCATGGTAGTTTCTGGATGTGTCATGGATGGTCTGTCTCCCTTCCCTCTATTGTATATGGACAGAACAAACAATTGCTTTGAACTGCTCACGAACACTGTATCATCATTACAGCATTCAGAGAGACTGATGTGCTGTTCGGTTTTCTTTCTGACGTATGCAGTGTCACATAGAATCTAGAGACACTAAATAAAAAGCTTTTGAATCGCATGCATAATAACCTCTTTAAAAGATATTCCAAGCTATTCATACCTCCTTGGTTATCCTTAACTCTTTCAAAATCACTTTGTCTTTAATTCTATAATATTTCAGTTAATATTACCTTAATTATTGATTTGTACTCTTAAAAAACTGATCAGGTTATTAGAATCCCAACATAGATTCATTTTTTTCAGTAATGCAAATTTTATAAAGATATGCTAATGGAATACTTAATCCTGATTCCATAATGAGATATATTTCTTTACTGTGTCATTTCCTTTTAGTCTAATTCATTTCCTGATTTTAGAAAATGCAAACAGAGGCTGAGTCAGAAGAATAGAGGTGGATTAATGTCAGTGGGAAAAGCTTCCTTTATGAATGTGTTACATGGGTTTACTGGATTTGTGGGGAGAGCACAGTCCAATTTGCTCTAATAGTTTGTGAATTGAGAGTAATCCCACTGGAAAGCTGATTTTTCTTGACAAATAGCTCAAAGGAAAGGCCAAAATGAGGTCAAATGCTATTTACTGTTCTCTGCAGTTCATTTCAATTCATTTTTAGAAAAAACAAAGTAAAAAAAAAAAAAAAGTGAAATATTTGAACTTATAAGCAACCCTGGAGATCCATAGTTTCTGAAAATTATATTTACAGTAAAACAATTTTTACTTGAATATCTATCTTTCTGTCTGTCTGTCCGTCCGTTTGTTTGTTCATTCATTCGTTCGTTCGTTCGTTCATTCATTCATTCATTCATTGTTGCATGAGTATTGATGGAACATTAATGCTTAGAAGTAATAATAATAATAATAATAATAAATGGTCTTTCAATGACCCCTAAACTTTAAGATTTTAAGCTTTTTTAATTTTAATTTTTTTTTATCATCAAGAATTTAAGACAACATTTTAACCTTAAGAAATAATAGTATTAATAATAATAATAATCAAATTGTACTTTATCATAAGCATGGATGGAATGCCAAAGCTTAGAAGTCGATGTAATAATAATAATAAAAATAATAATAATAAAGTTGTCTTTCAATTACCCCTAAACTTGCATAAAAATTAAGAATTTTTTTATCATCAAGAATTTAAGACATTTTAACCTTAAGAAATTAAATTTAGCATAACCATTGATGGAATGTTAAAGCTTAGAAGTCGATGTAATCATCATCATCATCTGTCTTTTAGCCCTTTTTCATCATGTACAATTCAAGATAAAATTTGAACCTTCTATCTATATAGCCGTTAAAAAACCCAGCATAGACTAATTTGATTCTGTAATGCATTTTTCATAAAGATACATTCATGTGATTACTTCTTTTCATAATGAATCTTTTTTTGAGTCATTTTCTTTTAGTGTCTTATTCACTTACTGACTTCAGAAAATGCATATACTAAAAAGGATTTTCAGGTGAATTCTTCGAAATATTAAATATTATTTTATCATACTATTGTACATTTTACTTTGTTTCTTTTGACATAGCTCACACATGCAGTCCAGCATTAGCCGCTGAGTCTCATGTTATGTAGAGCCATGTTTGTGTGTGAGAGTGTGTGTACCGTCCTCCGCGGAGAATCTAATCCCCATCCCCCTCCCCCCCCTCTCTCTCCTCCCCCTCTCGCTCTCTTCCTCTCTACTGCATTGATGCTACTGCCTTCCTCAGTGATGATGTCACTGGTTCAGTCAGTCTCAGCATCACTGCTCTAGGCAGCTAGCAGAGCCATTTTGGCTTCTACATTACAGGGCACTCAAAGATCTCTCCTCCAAGAAGCAGGCCTCGCCGAGCATCCAGCTACACCTCGCTGGAACAAATAAAGGATCCTCTGTTAAACAGAGGGGAAAACAGACTGTTTTCGACATATAAGAGGAAGAGCTGAAAAAAGAGAATTTGAGAAGCCAGCACAAGAGGCAGTAGTGGGAGCTGATCTGTAGAGTCAATAGCTGAGAGCATCAGAGGATCACCATTGTAAAGGTAAGAGTTTTTTCATTGTTAGCATGTTCTAGAGGACAATGCAGTATTAATGAGGCTCTGTCTGTTTATTTGGTGTTGGGTCACCAGGGTGGGACTGCCGTGGGGTGCGGCCATTTAGAGCCTGTCAGCAAATCCAGACATTATTATTATGACAGAGAAGTGTTTTTTTATTGAGTATTGGAACAGATGTTGTTCGTCATAAATGGCCCTCTGTCCTTGTGTACATATTTCTAAGTGCGGGCGAGATAAATGCACTGTCATGCATTGTCTCAGGCTCGCAGCCACATAGTAATGTCTTCAAGATAGAGCTTATGAATCACGATTCCAGAATTTACCAGAGAACAGACAAAGAATTATCATTTATACGTTTTTTTCCCATTAATATGGTAGCGAGTTGGGAAAATATAGTGACTACTGGCAACACACATATGAAATTGCGTATGATTCCCACTATATTCTACATATGATGTCACACAAATGAATGATTTATATAGATTTGTTGACACTTAAGATCACAATGACTGACGACAAAAAAATCCATTATGGATTTATGATCTACACTGCAAAATATTACCTTAAAGGCATAGTTCACCCACAAATTACAATTCATCATTTACTCACCCTCAAATTGTTTCAAACCTATTTCATGTGATAATGTGTAAACTAACTGGTTATATTCAAGTCAGAAATATTATTTAACAAGTCTTACTTAATTGTTACACCAATGACCAAGAAAAGCAGTGCTTTAAAAGGCACAGTTCACCCAAAAATTAAATTTTTATCATCATTTACTCACCCTCATGTACTTCCTGTAAGAATTTCATTCCTGTGTGTGTGGAACACAAAAGAAGATATTTTGAAGAATGTTGGTAACCTAACAGTTGCTGGTAGCCATTGACTTCCATAGTAGGGAAAAATGCAATGGAAATCAATGGCTACCAGCCACTGTTTGGTTACCAACATTCTTCAAAAAATCTCCTTGTTTGTTTTACTACCTCTTTAAGACTACTTGATCTGACCCTTAAAAATACTGTCATTGGTGTAACAATTAAGAAAGACTTGTTAAGTAATATTTTCAACCTTGAATCAAACCAAATCAATTCATATATTACCACATGAAGTACATTTTTAGGTTACGTGTCAATATTTAATTAGGTTAATCAGAAATTGTTTATAATGGACATGAGTAGGTTGATTAATCAACATGCCGGTCACAATACATGTATTATAAAATCAGTTTTATAGTTGTCACTTCATCAACTCAACAACACTAAAAACTGCAGCTTTCTGACTTCTTTGTAAACTGACATGCTGCCTTTGAGGTTCATGTCAAGTAGTCTAAGTAGACGAGAGACTGAACCCACTCCGTCACACCAGAATGTGACTCAGCGTGATGTTAGTCTAATTGAAAAACGCAGAATGCAGCTCACATGAGATCACTATATGAGCTATTTTACGTTTATTCAAATAAACCTCTTAGTTACTGAAGCAAACACGCTTATAAACAGAAGCAGAACTCGTTGAAAATGAGATTGAGGCTTATAGGTCATAAATCTTCCCTGCATGCATGACACATTAATTGTACCTCCATTTTGGTCCGACTAGGAGGCTGAGCTGGACTCAGAGTTTGTGGCAGCCAGCTCTGTTATCTGTTATTGTAATCCTAGGGAGCGTACTGACATTTAGCCAGCCGTGCAATTCTTTTGTTGCTGCCGGGCTGAGTATCTCTCTAGATCTGTAGCTGACCATGCATGATCCTTTTACGGTGAGGTCATATAAACACAGTCTTTCCTGTTTGATCTGAACATCGAAATATTGAACATTTTTAGATTTATTATTTAACCTCATCGTAAGTCACCACTGAAATCATGTTTTTGCTTGTCAGCCTGTCATCCCTTCATGCCATTTCTTTATAGATACAACAGAAATTGCACTCCGTTGCTATGGTGATAGGCAGCTAAGATTTACAGCCTTCCCGAAAGTAGGTGTAATTTAATTTCCAATCGAGATCGTCTAAATCAATATCTCTCTGCTCATATATAGTAATGGAGCTACTAAACGAGTAATATCCTCTCTTTTTTCAGAAGTGCTGCACATAGATGAAGGAATATAGATTTTACTGTAAATTTATTGTACATGAATATTTTTGTGCATTGATCAATATGTCTCAATATGCAGCTTTTCATATGTGACCCTGGACCACAAAACCAGTCATTAGGATATTAAGTAAAGATCATTTCCATGAAGATATTTTGTAAATTTCTTACTGTAAATATATCAAAACTTAATTTTTGATTAGTAATATGCATCGCTAAGAACTGCATTTGGACAACTTTAAAGGCGAATTTCTCAATATTTTGATTTTTTTTGCACCCTCAGATTTCAGATTTTCAAATAGTTGCATCTCGGCCAAATATCGTCCAATCCTAACAAACCATACATCTTATGTTTATAAGCCATACAGCTTATTTATTCAGCTTTCAGATGATGTATAAATCTCAATTTAAAAAAATTGAACCTTATGACTGGTTTTGTGGTCCAGGGTCACATATGTAATTAATATAATGTATATATTTAATACCATAACTGTAATACATTATAAATGTAAATACAATAAAAATAATAACAATAATAATAAACCAATAATTATTGTATTATATTATATTATATTATATTATATTATATTATTATAGTTCTTCCTAGGAGATAGTGCTTCTGTTGCTTCTGTTGTCCTCATTTGTAAGTCGCTTTGGATAAAAGCGTCTGCTAAATCACTAAATAATAATAATAATAATAATAATAATATTATATTTAAATATAATATAATAGATAAAGATATAGATATTCCAGTTTTATGTTTGATGAAATCGGTGTCATAATGTTACATTTCTCTCTTTGCAGGTGTGAGCAGTGATCTGGACATTTAAAGCAGTGCTTTCAGCGCACACAGAGGCACCATGGCAGGGGCCTCGGTGAAGGTTGCAGTGAGAGTCCGTCCCTTCAACTCTCGTGAGATGAGTAAAGAGTCCAAGTGCATCATCCAGATGTCAGGAAACACAACCAGTAAGTACCCAACTGCACCTGAGCCCCAAAGCTTCCATCCAGAACATCCAGCTGTTAAATCACTAAGAATACTCAAAACACTCCCGTTTATAGAGCATGACTTTTACTGTGTGTCTTAATGTTGTTTTCGCAGGCGTGTGTTGGGTTTTTATGGGCCCTGTCTGAGTGTTTGACCTCATCTGCACGTATTTCGTAAGGGCAGCCTTTTTGAGATGATGTGGGATAATTGTCAACTGATCAGTGAACTGGGGGCGAGTAAGCTCACCAGTAAATCTGATCCGACATTAATTTCATAGTCAGCCATTAATCTAATGTGGCTACAGAAATTGAGAGTTATTGAAGCAGAGAAAAAAATAGAGGGATGTTGCAATGAACTTATCACAACTACAGCTGTAATTGCTAGTGATCGATTTTGGTTTGCTGTTTTTGACACGCTGGCAGGGTGAGTGGTCAATTTCAAAGGAACTAATGAGGAGACATCATTTTCTTTGTCAAGGATGTTGTGTTGTAAAGGAACTTAAAATCAAGACATCTTAAATGGTTAGATGAGGTCGAAGATATGTTGATGCATGTGTGTGTGTGTGTGTGTGTGTGTGTGCTTGCATGGTCTCCAATCAAAAATATGAAGTCATACCATATATTGTTGTTGGGTAAACAAATGAGAATAATAAAACCACACTGGCATACATAGAGCCAGGGGTCAACTAGCCTATATAATGAAAGTAGATTTTTTTCAACTGAAAGGTACAGCTATGCTCTTAAGACAAATGTGTTTTTCATAATCGTGACCCTGGTCCACAAAACCAGTCTTAAGTCGCTGGGGTATATTTGTAGCAATAGCCAAAAATACATTGTATGGGTCAAAATTATCGATTTTTCTTTTATGCCAAAAATCATTGTTCCATGAAGATATTTTGTAAATTTCCTACCGTAAATGTATTAAAACTTAATTTTTGATTAGTAATATGCATTGCTAAGGACTTAATTTGGACAGCTTTAAAGGCGATTTTCTCAATATTTTGATTTTTTTGCACCCTTAGATTCCAGATTTTCAAATACTTGTATCTCGGCTAAATATTGTCCTATCCTAACAAACCATACATCAATGGAACGCTTATTTATTCAGCTTTCAGATGATGTACAAATCTCAATTTTGAAAAATGTACACTTATGACTGGTTTTGTGGTCCAATTCGGGTCGCAATTGTCAGGTTGGGGCAAGTTGTCACATGTTTTACAATTTTATATAATTTATATAAGTTTTGATTTGGAGATTAGTTTTGAATATGCTTTTTTATCTGTTTCATTAATTGTTTTGTGTTGAAAATTGTGTACTTTCTTAATGTAAGGTTTACTTTTACACTACTGTTCCAAAGTTTGGGTCTCTAAAATAGTCTCGCCAAGGCTGCATTTATTTGATAAAAAATACAGGAGTAGTATTACAATTTAAATGAACTGTTTTAGATTTGTATATAGTTATATTACAGTGTAAGGTTGATAGGCTATAGCTTGAAAACATGTCCTACTGGATTTCGCCAAAAGGTCAGTGAGTGTTTAATGAACTCTTCCTTTTTCCTGGACAGTAATTGTTTTTGTAGTCAAGAATTTGAAAAAATTAACAGTAGAAAAATTGTAAGAAAAAAAGTGATTAAACTTGCCCTGGTCACCACTTTATTATTATTTTTTCCTTTTTATCCTATAGTGTGCTCTAGAATGTTAGATGGGTTAAACATATTATGATTTTTTTTTTTTAATTGGAATTAGGATATTGCTGTACTTTGCAATTTTTTTAATAATGTCATCATGCAGCAGAAGATTTCTTGGTTCTAAACATGTGAATGTGCTCGAAGAATGGAGGGAACTGATGGATGACTGGAGAGAGATTTGATTTCTAATCTGCCTGGCTGGGCGAAGCCATTGGTCAATAATGGATGAGAGCTTGTGAAATATTTAGAGTTTGGCCTAATTTAGCTTCCTCCCTTCCACCTTGTGTTGCTTGAGAAAAACAATGTGTCAATCATCATCTTTGTACCTGAGGTAGTTTTTGATAGTGTTGATATTTACATAAAATATTGAGTCAAAAACTAGAATAGGTCAAAAGAAACTTTACTAAAAAGCAGTGTGCCATTTGTTATACACCTTTGTCTATTTGTAAAAACAAAGTGCACATACAAAAGGGTCCTGATGATGGCAGATGTAATATTACACCACGGTATTGTTGTGCAGGTTAGGCCAAGGGTTTTACGAAGGAGATGCATTGGGACTGGCAAATCTGTAAGCCATGTTGCAGAAGATATTTTTGTCGTAAGGGCACCCAGCTAGTGGTGCATAATGTAAATATGACATAGGGGTGTGCGATATATATCGTCTGCAATAATATTGTAATTGTTGTTTTAACGATGTGCGATTTGACATTATCGAGTATTTTGCAAAAGCTATTCAAAACACCTATACAGAGTGCACGCATATATTACGTGAAGTCTAGACAAGTGCGAGTGTGCATTTAGGTCGCGTGTCCACCAAAGCGTTTTTTTACCGAGGCTAGCGTATTTTTTCCGTTGTTCTAAATGGGAGCGCTGCATTTTTTTAAAGTATAAATATGAAGAATATCAAAAACCTCAGGAGTCAGCTGTCCACAGTAGTCCTTGAGATACCAGCACAATAACACAATCAGCAAAATCTCGTCTAATTATAGTTATCGATAAAATCCCAGAAAATATCATATAGTAATATCCTACTAAAGGGATTGAAACATCTAGTTCTATTAGCTTTACTGATCTTCTGGAAGAAAACCCAGTGACTGTTGTGAAAGTGCAGCTGGCGACAAGGGAAAGACCGTGTGACAGCATGGAGAGACAGCTGACAGGAGGAAATAGACCCCAACGGGGCTGTTATGGGCTAGCTACCCATAGCAGCAGGCTCCGTCACCCTATTAGGGCACAAGAGCCACCTTATCTGGCTACGAAAAATTAAAAAAGAAAAATACCCCTAGAGTCTGCGAGAGCAGGGGCGCAAGAAGACTCACAGACTGACCTCCCGGTAATGACTCTTGGAATGGACATGACATCGAAAGAAGGAAGTAGCAAGACTCTTGAGAAATTAGTAGCTGGACATGTTCTTCAGACTTGCGTGTGTGGATGGGCGAAAGTAACATCAACCCATGGTCTTAAGGTACAGCAAGGAAGAAATGCCTGAAAACCACCAACCCAGGGCCCTGCATTGACCGGAGTCTGTCAAGGAAAAGGTTAAATCAGTCGGATGAAACTCAGCTGCAGGAAGAAACCCACAGTCCGCAGAGAAGGAGGGCCTGGAGAAGAAAAAGCTCAGCTGGCGTGACATCTGGCAGATGGATGGAGCGCGGCTGAGTTTTGTCATCAGAGCCACATACGACCTGCTACCCTCCCCTCAAAATCTGAAAGAGTGGTATGGAGAAGACCCCGCCTGTTCCCTGTGTCAAGTACCTGCATTCCCTAAGGCACATTCTATCAGGGTGCACTACAAGTCTTACCCAAGGGCGCTATACTTGGCGGCATAACCAAGTACTTAGAGAGCTGGCATCAATACTGGAACAGAAACGAACCACCACAAACAACCTCCCACAAACATTGGCAGGAAAGGTTAACTTCACAAATTTCGTACCAGCTGGCCAACATCAAGAGAATCGTACAACACCTAAAGATGCAAGCTTCCTGCAATCAGCGCGGGATTGGAAATTGGAAGTGGACCTTAATAAGAAGCTTGTGTTTCCCCCAGAAATAGTGGCTACAACACTCCGGCCAGACATGGTCCTGTGGTCTCCAACAACAAAGCTGGTATATGTTGTCGAATTAACAGTACCATGGGAAGAGGGGGTTGAAGAGGCTTATGAGAGGAAAAAGAACAAATATTCCGACCTGGCAGCTGAAGCATCCCAGAACGGCTGGAAGACTAGCATCTTCCCAGTAGAGGTGGGATGCAGGGGTTTTGTTGCAACATCTACCACCAGTTTGCTGAGAAAAATAGGGGTGAAGGGTCGCTCTCTCCAACAGGCCATCAAGTCCATATCAAGTGCTGCTGAAAAAAGCAGTAACTGGCTCTGGATCAAGCGTAAGGACCCCATCTGGGCAGCAAGGTAGAGACAGATGGTATGCGGTCAGGCTTAGGCCCGACTCAGGGAGAAGGACGCCCCTGCCATGCAGAGCCCATCAGGGATATAGAGGGTATGGCATGGAGGGGGGTGTACCTGGGACGCTGGGTACACCGTTGAGCCTTTTGGAGACGTTGTGGGCTTCAATCAACGAAACGTCGATGAAGCAGGGTGCCCACCTGATGACCCCAATGACATACCTTACCCTCTTTTTAACCACTCCACACCGATTGCTACTATCAAGAGTTTCCTACTAAAGGGATTGAAACATCTAGTTCTATTAGCTTTACACACCCCTAATATGACATTGTTCTAGACTGATAACAGTGAGGATAAAAGCCTAATACACTCAGTTCTTTTGTTTTAATGGGTGAAGAAGACTGTGAACCTTGAACAATAGAGAAATGAGCCATCAAAAGCAGTAGAAACACTTACTGTCATTGTAAATGGATTGTGCAAGTCAGCCTTCTGTCAGATCTTTAATAGTTAGAGATGAATGTCACTGCTCTAACAGTGTTTAAAAACACATCTGCCATTAACTCAAACAGTAATGGAAAAATATCTATATAATAGTATTTAGTAACTAAAACTGTCACTGTATATTTATTTGCCAATAACATTTTTATAATGTAGGCACACACACACTGACACACATATACAGAGAGCAAGAATGTCCTTGATACAGTGTAATTATTTAATTAAATACGGAGTAATACTAATTTACATGTGCTTAGGTTAGGGTTTGGTTTAGGGTTAGTTTCTTGTAATTATACTACATTTATTGTTATTACTATAGAAAGTAACAAGTGTAACAAGGACACTGTAAAATACGGTGTTACCTTTTTTTCCATATTGTCAGTATGCCTAATCATTTG